TCTTCATAAAAGAACAGGCAAATTGGTACCTAGAGATGTCAGGTTATTTGAGAACTATTTTTAAAAAGCAATGAGTCTTTTTTCTACATTTCTAAAAATGGATGATCCCACACCTAAAAACCAATAATAGTTAATTTTAACCCTAAAACTCTAGAGTTTTGCCACTATTTTTTTTTCAGTGTAGAAAAGAGCAACATGGATTAATCTTGTACTAACTTCCTATTCATTCCTATTTCCTGTTAATTCCTTCTCCTCTCTATCTTTTCAAATCTCATTCACATCTCAAAAGAAAAGATCCAACATTTTCCTTTTTGACCTTCCATTTTCCCAAAGAACTTATCCTTCATAATAATCTCTGGTATTTTGCCCTAGATGGTTTGGCTCAATGGGCAGAGCGTTGGCCTTCAGAATGAAGGGTCCCAGGTTTGATTCTAGTCAAGGGCACATGCCTGGGCTGCAGGCTCGATCCCCAGTAGGGGGCGTGCAGGAGGCAGCCGATCAATGATTCTCTCTCATCATTGATGTTTCTATCGCTCTCTCCCTCTCCCCTCCTCTCTAAGATCAATAAAATATATTTTTTAAAAAATCTCCAGTATTTAGTTGTAACAGTTGGGATCTCTTGTATATGGTATTGATCCCTTTTTTTTAATCATGGGAATCTGAATAAATTGTTTCTTAAAATTCATATCTCACCATCTTTTTAAAGCTTCTACTCTCTCCATCAAAGGTTTATCATACTACTAAGTACATAGCAAGTACTGGTTTATTAATCTACATATACTCACTCTTATTCTCAATTCTGCTTTATTTCCCCTATTAGATCATAGTGAGAGTGGCCACTAAACGCAGTAATGCCTTTTTACACTATTGATGTTCAAAGACATAATAAATGCATCGCAAAATAACCTTCTGAGCACACTGAGACTAGAAATTATAATTTATTCATCTTGGTAACACTAAAAGATAATATAGTATATAGCAGGTGCTGAATAAATAGGTTGAATTATATTTAAGGCTTTTCCATTGTAATACAGAAGACCAAAACACCTTTATTACTTTTGAAAAGTCAAGTTATTTGAGGTTTTACTAAATTCTGAGGACAGAATAAAACTGCTCTTAAACTTTGTAGAAATCCTGTTCCTCTTCTTTCAATATATAATCTAATTATAAATGGTTAAGCAATTCTTAAATAACTAGTCATAAAAACACCAAAAATAATAATGGAGTTTTGTTACTAATTATTGGCATTGCAAGAAGCTACTATTATGTTCAAATTGACCATACTACCTGAATTTTCAGGTTAAATAAAGTTCAGAAAACTTCTAAAAAGAAAACCAATTTTAAAATAATCTGAAACAAAAGTCCAATATTGTTGTTGAAGAGTTTTTGCAAAAATAAAGAACAGAATATTTTAAAAATATATTGCATTTTAGATAGAATAAAAAAGGAAAGTAAAACAAGTGTCATGTTCACTGATACAGCAATCTAGTCATAATAGCTTTTTAATTTCTGTTCTAATTTAATAAGAGTTCTCTGCTCACTTGTATCAAAATATACTAAGGCCTACAAACACAGCATTGCCAATAAAGGAATTAGAATTCTAAATATAAGAGTTTATATTTAATAAATGTCAATGATAAACTGTCAGAATTTTGAGTATAACAACTGATGAATTTATAGTGACATTTATATTTATAAGTCATAACTATAGAGACGAATAAAGTTTATAATTTACAAAGTTTTCAGTTACTCCTCCATTAAAAACTACATCAAAGACATGTTCAGTCACATGTGCAGTATTATCTTTGAAAGATAAATGCTGGACAACTGCAAAAGGTTATAGGTTAAACATGCCCTATAAATATTTTGTTCTCAAAATATCTCTCCTATTATATAAATAGCCAACATTTTCAGATTCAGCCATAGTATAATACAATTCCATCTGCAGACCTAGGATGATGATATCCTCACAAAAATAATTAACAATCACAGCACATCATTTATCACTCATAAATTTCACTCTCAGGGGTGAGATTTTCACCCCAAGAGGCCCTGGCAGCCAATCACACTTCCAAAGCATCAAGCAAAATTTTATCACTAGATCTGTTTAGAAGACAGATCCTTTCATTTACTTGGTTGCACATTATCTATGCTTTTTCATTCCTTTTATAAACTACCTGTTTCCCCCCCTTAAATATTCTCCAGTAAATGAAAACACAGAAAGAGTAAAAGGAAGAGATATTCACGGACTCCTTGCTTTATTTCTTTGTGATTCTAACCAAGAGCCTTAGGGAGGTTAAAAGTTTCACGATAGCTCTACATGATCTCCCAATATTGACAGAATAACGAGGCAAAACAGCACCACGACCATGTGCAGTTTCTTGTCATTTATTCTGTCTCAAGTAGGGAATGAAGTGACACATCGTAAGAAAGGATATGCCCATAGATGCGGAATTTGATTGACTACCTTTCTCTTCAGCTCAACCTCCTCGATAAGACAGTAAATATGTTACGTGCTGATGTAGGTTTTCCACATGCCCACACCCCCCCCCCCCCCCCCCCCC